TATATATATATTATTTTTTGAAATACAAGTATATTTCACCAAAGATAATTATCATAAGCAACAAAATTATTCCTCCAACTATTTAACATATTGCAAACACAAATTTAAAATTTGAAATCAGCAGTTAAGTTAGAAAATTTTATATTAGTTAATATCCACCTGGTAAATGATATATGTGTATATAATAATACTATAGTAACATTAAATCTTTCATGTTTTTTGAAAATTACTTAATGAATTTATTAAATTAAATCAATCAATTATTGATTTGAATTAATTAATTGTTTATTTAATAAAAACTCCTTGCATTCATTATTTAAAAAATTAGTAACAAATTAATTTCTATTTTCCAAATTTTAGCAATAAATATAAAATATACAGTTATATTTATATTTTTCCTATGAATTAATTTTTATAAAATATACAGTTATTTTAACTCTAGTTTTACCCCAAAAAAAAAACCCTAGCATACTTTTTTTATTAATTAATTTTTTTATTAATAACTCTAACATACTTTATGGTAAATAATTGATTTCTGAAATTAAAATACGAATGAAACCATTTGAATTAATTAAAGACTCGAGTCATTAAATAAAAACTGCTCAGGGACGATGACACATGAGACATGACACAATATCATTTTTATCTCTATTACCAAAAATATATTTTTATTTTAATAGTTTCAACAACTATAATTCAAGCGTGGTTATAATTTATAAATTAATAACAAGCATTAGCTTGAATCAAATCACAATACTTTTAATATTGAATTATTAAATATATAATGAATGATACATGTTGTAAAGTAATATTACATTGAGTAAATTATGTTTCTCTAAAAAATATATATATATATATATATATATATATGTGTGTGTGTGTTCGAAAATTATTGTTCAAATATAATTGATAATGTTTGTGAGTAAATTATGTTATCTTTTCTTTAGAGATAGGAGTATTATATTTTCTTTCTTTTTATATTAAAATATATAATTTAATTTAATACAGTTAATATAAATTACATTTCTATTTTTAAGAGATATAAACATTAAATTATTCATCATTTATAAATTAAAATAATAAATAAATGACACTTTTATATTTTAGAAATATATATAAATATTACACTATTATTATTTTATCATATTAATTTTGACTATTTGACTTAACATTATTAAAAATTAATTATTGTAAGATTTTAAATATGCTATAAATTTAATTATTTATTAAAAAATATTTTAATTATTTATATTTTAAAATATTTATAGTTCATTGTCATTCATTCGCTTGACAAAAAATTTATAAAATAATAAATAAAATAAAAATTATAAAATAAATTATATATATATATATATACGTTGATATATATAATATAAATTAATATATATATATGTATTAAATTTTGTGATAATTATATTTTACTTAATAATAGTTTATTAATATAAATATATTTATTTAAAATTATATGTTTAATATACATATTTTTGGTATTATATTCATTATAAATAATAAATAATTCTTTATCATAAAATACTAATTTATTTAGATATTATTAAAATATTTTATTAATAATATAAATTAAATAAATATTAATTAAAATATTTCACTAACTACATAGAGTACTAAATAATATTTTAATACTTGTATTTGATTTTATTATACTTATATATATATATATATATATTATTTTTACTATGATATATAACTTTAAAAATATTTTGTACAGGTAATAATAATAATAATAATAATAATAATAAATTTTAAGATATATAATTAATTTCAACAAAATTCATAAATAAAATTTAAAATAATAAATAAATATGTAAATTAAGAGATAAATTATTAAAATAAAACTTATTTGAATTTGTTAAGGGAATATATGTTTATTTTAATATAAGAAAGGATGATGACATAATATTTATATCTGTACTAATATATAAAGAAAATACAATTTTTAATAATTATTTTTTATTTTCATTTTTACATGAATCATTTTATCTTTTATTTATTTTTTAATAACTACCTTTTTTTTATGAGTAACTTCTTATTTATTTATTTATTTAATATAATGCAGACACAAAATATCTTTTTTCTGCTAGTTAGTATAAATGATATTTTGATAATAAACTTTATTGTAATGGAAGTTAACAAAATTTTTAAAAACAATTTGAAAAAATAATTAAAGTTTCATATATTTGAATCCGGAAAAGGAAAAGACTATAATTTTTAACATAAGATATTACTCTTAAGATGGCAATGTAAATTACTCTTACTATTATCATCGATCAATATTTTTTAAATTAAAAATTCCAGTTAGTCCGGACTCTTTCTATATGGTGTCAATTAAAAGAATAATCTATTAAACTATTTTAATCAAATTTATCTAAATATAATAATAGTTCTATATGCATGTAATTTATGAAATAATATAATTATTTAAATATTTTTAATTCTAATATATAAATAAATCTCACTACATGTAAATTCCTTCGCGTACTTGTTCATTTATTTGGTTCACTATAGTCAGTCTTTTTTTATTTTACTTAATTTTCCTATTTTATTTGGAATCCGTCTTTTTACTTATTTTAAGGGTATGATCCATTTCAATGTTATTTAATTTAAAATTTGAGCCTGTCAAAAAGAAATTAAATTTTGAGTAAACTGCATTTCTTTTTTTGTTGAGATACATATGTCAATTATGCTCTTCCCTTATTTTAAAATATATACTCTAAAGTGAATGATTGGGTCATAGAAAAAAAAAAAAGTAAGTTGATTGTGATTTTACTAAAATTCTAATATGAATCTTTTAAAGTTTTTAGAGCCTATCAATTTTGAACCTACTTTCTCCTCAAATGTCTCAATTTCAATTTGATTTGTTTCTTCATTAGACCTAAGGAAGATAGTAGTATTATTATGAGAAGCAAATGCAACGACCGGACGGTGCTCTACCCATTCATACAACAAAAATAAAATTGTTTTACAAAAACATGACATAATATTTATCACTAAAGATTACTTTTATTTATATTATAAATCATATTATAAATATAATATATATTAATATATTATTAAAAAGTTAAATATTAATTATAATAACATACAATATATATTATTAAATTTTATTTAAATAAATTTATATTTACATGTATTATATTTAAAGTAATATTTTTTACATATCACTATATATAACATTTTTTTATAATAATATATAGGGATGACAATGAAGCAAATAGTAGCCCTTTGTCATTTACTATAGTTAATGCAAGTATCTATTTAGTAGGTATTCATAAATTCTTTATACATTTGTGGATATTTATGAATATTTATAGTATTTGTTAAAATTTAAAATTTTAAATAAAAACTTTAAAAAAAATAAACACGTATATTTATATTAAAAAAATTTGCAATATATATATATATATATCTAAAATTAAAAATATTTTTAAAGTATAAATATTCGCATGTATGAATGTCTTGCTATTTTGTCTTCAACTCGTAATTAAATGGAATCCATTTAATTTTTCATTTACAATTCATAATAAATGTTGTCTTTGCAAGGAGAGCAAAATTTGTTATTAGTGTTAAGTTTAAGGCTTGATTCATGGGAAGGTGAATTCAATCGATCATAATTTCTTTTAAGATTTCAATAAAATTTTCTCCCTTTAATGCCTTTTATAAAGTCTTGTTTAATTTTTCTTTGAATCAATTGATATTAATATAAACGGGATGTTTATGTTGGCTATTGTTAAATCAATTAAAAATGATGAAACAAAGGCTTAAAACTAACGAGAAATTGCCTAATGTGGCATTGTTGAGGACTCAATCTACCCCTTGTAGGGTTTATATGGAAACAATTGAGCATATTCTTCAAGACAACAAAAAGGTCCACGACATTTGACGTGAATTTTTTTATTTATTAATCTTAACCAATGATTTGGCTTGCTCGTGTCCCAAAGATTGACCTATCACTTTTGGGAACACTATAGTATTAAGTCTATGTGGTATCATTGAAATCGATTAGAATTCACAGGTAAACCATTTCAACCTCAGAGTATCTATCATCCACCAGGCTAGGATTGTTCAACTTGAAGTTGTTTAGGATTCTCATGGTGCGCTGGGGTCATGCATGTCAATACAAAAAACAGTTGAAGGGGTGAAGTTTACCTTTGATCCCTAACTGAAGTCTAGCGTCGATGGACCTCTTTGAAATAGTTCCTATTTGGAAACTTGTGAAGGTCTACTTTATAATGCTACAAATCAATGGTTATTGGATTTTGCTCAAAACATTGGCCATTGTGTCCATATATACAACTCTTACCTTTGCTTGGGAGGAAGGAATTCAATTTGTTTGGGTTAAGAGTGATTAGAAGATAGCTTTTCTCTATCCTGCGCACTTGATATATAGTATGCTTCACGATTTTCATAATTTACTAACACTGACAAGAGATAAGATTGCTAAGATTACTCATTTTTCGTGAAGGGGGTAAACTTGATGATTGAATTGTCAATATCCTGCACCAGTTACTTAAAGGTGTTCACTGTCTACATAGATTTTTCACCTTAATATTAGTTTAAGATGATCTTAATGGCGTAAGAGAAACTCGTTTTGAAGTTTGTTAGGAGAAAAAAAATTATACTGAATTTTACTATTAACATGCTTTTATAATAGAAATATAAAAACATAAATTGTATCACTTTAAAATCGATTTAAACCAAAATTAAGTTTATGAAGTCAATATTAACGGTTTTTTTTAATTCAATTTTGTCAACACTCATCTAAATTAAACATACACTAAGATATTATTTTTCAACAACTCTTGCAGGTGTTTTATTATGGGAAGAATTCTCCTAAATTTCATTGTGCAATTGTTCTTACATTTACTGAATATGCACTTTAACATTTAAACATCTATTTGTTGTTTATTGTATTGTCATCAAATTATGATTCATAAAAATAAACACCAAAAAGTACTTGTTAATAAATTTAAATTATTAAATCAAATTGAGAGAATCATACTGATTTTTCTTTCTTTCTTACAAGTGTCTTGAAGTCTAATTTATGAGAAATCACTTACTTAATTTTCACACTCAATCACTAGTACAAAAATTGGATTTAAAATCGAAGTTTTAAGATCGGTTAAAAAGTAACCGATCTTAAAAGTGACGCGGTAGCAATTTTGTAAATAATATGAACACTTTTAAAATCGATTACTTTATGACCGATCTTAAAAGTTATGTCTGACACAACTTTTAAGATCGGTTACAAAAGAACCAATCTTAAAAGTTATGTCAGACATACCTTTTAAGATCGGTCATAAAATAACCGATTTTAAAAATACTTTTAAGATTGGTTATTTTATGACCAATTTTAAAAGTGTTACTTTTAAAATCGGTTGTTTAAGAACCGATTTTAAAAATGCTACTTTTAAAATCGATTATTTAATAACCGATTTTGTATGTAGTATACAAAATCGGTTCTTAGATAACCGATTTTAAAAGTATCGTCAGAAACCTTTTATCTTTCCCTCCATTCTCATTCTCATTGATTTTTCCCTCCATTCCTTTTTTTACTCTCTCGTGCTCTCATCTAAAGTCTCCAACTTTTCATTTTTTTTGCAAGACTACTATATTAAGGTAACATTCTCATGCTCTTCTCATGTCTCTACTTTCGTTGTTGGTTTATTTTGGCTACTTTCGTTATTGATTTATTCTGGAAAATTTTGAATTTAGGGTTCTGCATTGAGAAAGGCCCGTTCTATAAGGAGAACAATTCGTTCTGCAAGGAGAACGACCCGTTCTGCAAGGAGAACGACCCGTTCTGGATAGATTTTAACTTATGACTAACTATGCTGGAACGACCCGTTCCAAACGACCATTTTAGGCCTTTTTAACAACCTGTTCCAGTTTTATTTTTTTCGGAGCCAAGACTTTCCAGATCGGTTATAAAATAACCGATCTTAAAAGTTAACTTTTAAAATCGGTTAAATAACTGATTTTAAAAGTCTAACTTTTAAAATCGGCTCTTTTAAAATCGGTTAGAGAACCAATTTTAAAAGTTTTTTTTTCCACTAGTGAATCTTTAATTATAAGTATATTAACTTTGTTTAACTTGAATTACCTTTCTAATCAATTACACCAACATCTTGATCAAATTCAATTACAATTTTTGTATTTAAACACACAGAGTCCTTATATATTCTTAAATCATATTCTTATCATCATTATTGGATCGAAAAAATTGATAGTAAAATTTATCAGAAAAAAAAATCTAGGGAGCCATTTAAAAATTATTTCATAACTAAAACTTTAAGAATCTAAACCTAATGTATCTATTTGAAGGCACACAAGTAAATCTCTAATATCAATCTCTTTGAACTTCTTGTTTGCCAATAACTCTAAGAGGTGAAGTAGTTACAAAAGATACTTTGATATTCAAGTCAAGACATAATCAAATATATAGGTGAGTAATAGATGAATAATAAATTTACTTCATTTTGTGTAACTATTTATACGGATCATAATGAGTTTGGATATGTTAGATTTTGATTCCTTATTACCAATTAGGTAATACGGCTATTGATGACATGTTATCCTCTTAATCATGTTTATTCTCTTTATCAATTATGTAATTCATTTTGTAATGGTTCTATGTCATGATCGTGTTAACCATCTTGATTGTTTTAATAATTGAAAGTATTGAGTCTGCCTCAAGAAAGCTAAGTATGTATAAATTAATTATCATAAATTATTTCATAATTTTAGAGATCAATAATACCGGAACATTATGCAAGAAGCATATATGCAATATAATTGTTTCGATCATCTCAACCACCTGAATGATCAGGATTAATATAAGTGTATTACATACTAATTTGCATTTATTCTTGATTAAGGTTGGTGTTACTTTATTGTTTCGAGAGTTGAAATAATTGAAATATATCCCCCAAAACAGTCGAAATATGTCTTTATACCTAACATACACCCTCCCTTAAAATATCAATGTACTATATATAAGTAGGGGTGAGCAACGGGTGGGTTTGGTCGAGTTCGGGTGAAAAATGTCCAACCCGTTGTAAACCGACTTTGAAAAAATGTGACTCATATCTGACCGACTGAGTTTTCAATTTGAGGCGGTTCGGGTTGAAACGGATTCGGATTTGAGCAGGTGGGTACAATCGGATTTGAATTTTTTTGTAGACCAATTTATCTTAACGAAGATGAAGCTTAAAACGATAAAAAATATTTTTAAAATAGTGTATAAAAATAGAATGAAGGTGAAAATAGATGGTGTAAGTAGATTCGTAGATGAAACATTTACAAACTAAAGAAGCAAAAATAAAAGATAAAATTCATAGTTGTTACATGCAAAAGAAATCTAAACTTAGATTACAAAACCCATAAGAAATCACAGTCGCACAAGTTGTATTCAAAATGGAGATAAGAAAATGGAAAAGAAAAACAAAGAAAGAAGCAAAAAGATAACTCTAAAATTGGACTAATGTGTTGAGAAGTTGAATGAGGAAGGAGAAGACAAAATAAATATCTAAGTTATGAGAAAAAGGAAAAAAATAAGTTACAAATTAATGACTATATTATACTTGAAATAAAGACTTTTAAGTTTGGACTATTGTTTAGTTATATAAAAGTAATAAAAATTTAAACTTATCTCATTTTTTGTTAGATTCGATTTTTAGCAGGTTTAAAAATTCAAAACCGAACCTGCCCAATATAACCCGTATAAAATCAAAATTTTAACCCGATTTATCCATAAGACCCGCCCGAACCCACTCAAAAGCAATATTTTTTATCAGGTTTTTCAAGTTCGATTCGGGTCTCGATTAAATGTTCACCCCTATATATAAGTGTATTTTAATATAAATGAGCATTTATTATTAATTTGTGAGTTTAAGAAATTTTAAAAGTGGCACGTTACCCGCATGTGCATGACGTAAGTCTAGGCCCAGTGGAGATATCGGGCCGAACTGAAAGCGAAATCCTGCGAGTGTATAACAAAGAAAACAGTTCAACACCGACCCCCCTGACGACGTCGTTCGGGGACGAAATCATCAACAAACGTCATTACACAGAAACGACTCGTCGTACAATTCATCTCCGACTCCCAGCGGCATCTGGAAGAAGAAAGGAAAGCAAAACACTCTCCGCTCGCTGCGAGTGTAGCAAACAAACAGTTGAATCCCCTCCCGAAGCTCAACGACGCCGTTTTAACTTTGCAGCAAGCACCGCCTGCACTGTGCAAACCCTAGTTTTCTTCTTCTTCGCACCATGTCCTCCGAAGACATAACTCTCGTCACCGACCAGAGGATCGAAAACGGTCTCAACTCCCCTCTCGTCTTCCAAGACAACCCTCTCCGCTTCAGTTGCCCCGACCCGACCCGTCGGGTCCCCGACCGGGGCCCAAAATCCCGCGAACTCGGCACATTCATCGACGACAAGATGTTCATCGATCGCGACCGCTTCTTCGCCGCCCAGGGCGCCGATTTCCGCCGCGCCAACGTCTACGCCGACTGCTCCGCCCGCCGCGACGCGCCCGACGCCCGCAATTGGAGCGCCAGCGAGGACGACGATTCCGATGACGAAGATGACGACGATGATGACGACGACGACGCCGAAGTAGAAGGACTCGTTGGCGACGGAACCAAAACCGACGTTAACAACAACAACGGCGATGGTAATTTGCCTGCTGTTGCGAACGGGAAAGCCCACGCTTATGGTATGAGTTTAGTTTAGCTTCAGACTTCAGAGTGTGGCGGGTTTTTGATTTTGATTTTGATTTTTGTTGTTGTTTTTGGATTGTAGTTTCCGGAAGAGAACTATTGGTGAAGGATGGTGGAGACATTGGGCAATTGGTGCATAACAATGTGAGTGGTGGTGATGAGGATCATCGGCAAGAGGGGTTAGGTAAGTCTCAGAATTCTGGTACTGTTGCTGAGACTGACTGTGAGGAGTACTATTCGCACTATCTTCAAGGTGGTGAAGGGGCTTCTGTGCAGAAAGTTATGGTGGATGACAATGGTTGCGGGTTTAGTGGGAGAAAGGATGTTATGTATTCCAGCGAGTCAGGGGAGTCACTCAGGGCAATTCTTTCAGATCCTGTTACGTAAGTCTTAACTCATTTTATACCCTAGGACGGGAAACTTACACGGTGTTTCAATAAACTTTTCTATCCACACTCGTATATAAGAAAATAACAAGTTAAACTGAATCAAGTGTTTAAAAGTTAAAACCAATTTTTATGCTGTTTAACTTTTATTGAAGTTTTCCCATCTTACTTCTCTAAAAGCTGAAGTGCAAGTTGATTTTAGCTTTTAGAAATGTTTATCTAAATAGGACCTTAGTGAGCAACAGGTTCTTTCTTTTATGTTGTGATCGTTCAGATTACGCGGAGTTATGCAAGATTAGCTTCCATAATTTGCTTTTGTTTTTTGTTCTCCAACCATCCCTTGGTGGGAGAATAATTTAATCAAATTGGCGGCCCTGAAATGGCATGTAAAGTGAACTTGTATACCATTTTAACCAGCTTGTTGACTTGTTCCCTTAAACTACTTTCCTTGTAAACATCTCCCTTCTCTTTCCTTTAGAGGAAGTTCTTCTCTACCAGTTTGGTGTTGCCAGACAGAAAACTTGTGTAATGGGGAGAAAGAAGAACCTTCAGTTAAGATTTTTGAGATTATCTATTAGCATCTGTTGATAGATCCTGCATGTAAAAAAAAATTTGTCCAACTTGTTGAAAATAGGTCCTTGTTTATTTTATTTTAATTAAGGTCTAAAATCAAATGATGCAGAATAACAAAATCAAATTTGATGCTTTTACATTTATTCCTTTTCTGACAGCATACAATAACATAAGTTTTAATGTGCTGATATCTTGCTTGCTTGCTTATTCACGCTCATTACTAACTTATATTTGATTGATGTCATTCTCTGAAAATAAAGGGGTGCTCTTATGGATGATGCGATGATATTACCATGTGGACATTCATTTGGTGGAGGTGGAATACAGCATGTTATTAGAATGGTGGGTTCTAAGCCATCAAATGCAATAATTTTCAGACTGACCTTTTCTGTGACTAAGCCATCTGAAAAATGTTATTAACTATGGAGCTGGTAATTTTCAACTTCTTTTCCGATATATATGCCTCCACGCAGTAGAATTGCAGGAGTCCCAAAGCGTCTAGTGATTATATTGTAAATATTTACTTTGCAAAATAATTCAGCTGAGTCATATAAATAAGCCTATTAAACTAGCTTTTGTATTGTGCATCCTACTTTCATCTTAGTGTGCAATAATTTGCTTCTGCTTACATTAACTGTTCCTGGACTGTATGTGCATTTAAGTTTTTCTGTACTCACAACAGTATAAAATTTGTCAAAATTATACACTAAGGGGAAAAAAGTATAATAGTTGTCATTTACCATGTTGAACTGTGATGGAGTAGAATCTTCTGCTCTTCTCTTGACTGAGTGTCAAAGTATTGAGTTAAAATGTCTGCTTTGCTCGCAAGATGATACTGGAGGGAAATTCTACTGTTTATTTGTAAGAATCAATGTCTATTTATGGTTCTTGAGGATTGGTGGATTACCCAAGAAGACGAGTTTGGGATATTCCCTGTATTCATCTGTAATATTAGTAGACTTGAATTGCAAATTATTTAGCCCGATGTTGATTATAGCACAAAAGCACTGTTTGTCTGTATATCTTTGGGTTGCTGACCAACCCATAGCTGGTTATAATATAAGTTTTGAGAGGTACACATGGTTCCCACGTGTTAAAATTTACCTTTGTCCTGTTTGGGTAGGTGAAAGTGACTAATAGCTAGCTATTTTCAACTTCGGTTTTTTATTAAAAAGTTTCATTTTTCATATAAGAAACTATTTTTATTGTTCAGGATTTGCCATGTTCTTAACTAGCTAATATGGTTGTTTTGTGATGCATTCTCAGAAAGCTTGCTGCTCTTGTTCTCAACCCACGACTGAAGAATTAATATCTCCAAACCTATGTAAGCAAAAATTCAATTATTTGTACTCAAATTATGCCCTTTTTTTCCTTCTAAAGTGCACTATATGTATTCATAATACTCCAAATTATGATGTATTATTGACATTATTTGTCTCCTAGGTTTTGAAACTTTAAATTAAGTAAAAACTATGCAACCAATTCCTTGAATATTGACTGGCTTTGATAACACTGCATAAAAGATATCTCAAAGTGCAGTACTGAATAATACTATCTTGTGCAATTCTGACTTACTATCTTCCATTTTGTTTTTTGGGGTGCTGGCTGCCTTGGTCAGCACTTCGAGCTGCTGTGCAGGCATATCGTCGGGAAGAGGAGACACAGTTTTACCGGTCACCTAAAAGAAGAAGAGAGAGATTTGATCAGGTGTTTATCTCCATTCCGGTACCATGTTTATAACTTTAGAGAGAGAAATGAAGATGAAAAGACGATCAGGAACCTCTTTGACTGGCTGGTTGTCTTTTTTGCCTTGAAACTCCCCCTTTTTTAATATGAAATATATTTTACATAGGACAGGGTGGTTTTGGAGATGCAGCTGTTATGGAAACATCGAGGAGTAGAGGTGTTCAGTTTCCATTTGCTGTCATGGACCGGGTCATCATAAAGGTAGCGTGTGAACAGGCTTGATTTTACGCACAAGTGTTTCTAACTTTTTTCGGTAAATGGAAATAATTAAGAGAGAAAATGGATCAGGGAAACAAAAGGACACCACAACGATTTGTTGGGCGCGAAGCTATTGTAACAACGCAATGCCTAAATGGATGGTTAGTGACTATAATTTTTTTTCCCATCAAGGCGTTCTTTGCTATGTTAATTTAGTATTTCTTAATATAAACATGCTAATCTATTCATTATTTCCTAAAACTGACCAAATAGAATCTAGTGGAAGTGAAGTGACTTCTGTGATGTATATTATAAATAATTTCGAATGAAATATTAAAGTCATAATGTATAAAAAAGTGCTAGATTTAACAATATTGTTTCATGATTCCAGTAGTCAATCTTGTAGAGGTGTACCCAATAGAAAAAATATAGCAAACTTGGTAGCAGCATGTTGCTTTCTGGGAATTGACTTGCAAAAATTGAATTTCATTGTAACATTTGGTTTTGTTTCGACTGTGTGTGTGTTGGGGGAGAGGGAGAGGGGGGGGGGGGGGGGTAAAAAAATTCTTCACCTCTTTCTAAAAATAGCATATTCGTGGGTTTAGATTTGGAAATAATTATGTGGCTTATGATTAATTTTGTTGAAAGTAAATATCTATGAAGTAAACATGGTAAGATAGACAGCAGAGGGAGAGCAAAACCACATATTCACTCATACGTGTGCTTTTATACCTGAATATGTTATGTTACTTTGAAGGAAATGCGTAAAACTTGCTTCTGTTGTTAACAAAAGACTTATGTACAGGTATGTGGTGAAGACATTGGACAATGCAGAGAGTGTAAAGTTGCAGTATCGATCCCTGGCCAAGGTTTTGGATGATCCTTCAAAACCTGCCTCCAGCAAGATGGCACCTAATTGGCTTTAGATCTGCAGCACACCTTCATCAAATACTTGTACTAGATGCCACTACATTTTGAGCGTTCAATCGCTGACATACCAACAGAAATTCTTCTTTGTAATTCCATTGTTGTATTCCTTGCGACAAAACTGTGCTAGCTGAGTTTGTAAATATATATAAACCTTACTTTACCATGCTTTGTGCTCGTTGAGATTGTAGTATCTCCCTAATCATTTTGTTATACATACTCTAACAGAATATATATTTTCTTTTTTTTTATTTTTTATTTTAATTTTTAAGTGACCAGATTTATTCAAGTGAAAATGTTTGTGACCTTAAATTATATTACACCGTATTCGGCTTTAGACTTTGACGAGTGAGACTGAGAGTAGGGATGGCAATGGGTCCCGTGGGGGCGGGTAATAGTAAACCCGTCCCCGTCTCGCCAGATGAAAATTGGTCCCATATCTATTTCATATCCGCGCGAGTATCCATGAATTTCTTAAATACCCATAGATATCCATGGATATTTATAAATATTTTAATAAATTAAAAAAATTATATTATAAATAATTTTAAGTTTATATTTAATGTCATTAAAATATTAAAAAAATAAAAATTCATTGTTAATTTTGAGCTTGTATTTAACGTTAATTTTGTTGAAATAATAATAAAAATGCAAGATAATTAATAACTTAATATACATTAATCTCACAAGTAAGTTAAAGTCTCATCATAAAACTACAATAATTCAATCTCATAATTTCAAATGAAAGTAAATAACTTATAATACATAAATTTTATGGGTCTAATCAAAGCTAGAAAATCAATTAAATTACATCCAACATAATTCTATAACATGCTTAACACATGTTGGTAACTTCGTCAACATCACTTTTGTAAGAAAATAAGATGAGAGAGTATAATTTTAGGGTTATGTGGTACAAGGATAATTATGATATTTAAGAAATATTATTAAACGGGTACCCGCGGGTATGGATATCATCATACCCATCCCCGCCCCGTTTATAAACGGGTAAAAAATTATCCGTCCCCATTATCTGTGGGTACCCAATTAGCCTATCCATTTATTAACCGTAACGAATTTTACTCACAGATACCTGCGGGTGCGGATATTTTTGCCATCCTAACTGAGAGTAACATATTCTTTCCAGTAATGAAAATATAAAATCATTAATCATGAGTGAGACTAATTTTAAAAAATCACATTCTTACAATGTTGTATTTTTAAATATATACATATATATATATATATATATATATATATATGATAGAGTATATTTATATGATAGAGTATTGTTGCATGTCTGCTGACAAATTAGGGAAGTAATACCACAAAGAAAAAACAATATTTTTGTTTAATCCCTTCTATTTGTTTTTGTAAGGTAAGCACTGAATATTTATTTTCTATGGCTAACGTCCAGAGGAATATATTTGACAAAAGAAAAATAGCCAGCCTTTAATACTTCAGATTTGATGCCTTAACAACTCATTTTATTTAAGTTGTATTTTAAGTCTCATGTTTTTTTTAAGTTGATATAGCTATTATAATATATTAGTATATTACCACTATTGTTATTATATTGTATTATATATATATATATATATATATATATATATTAGAAATGAAGACTAGACTTGTATTTATGTAAATGTAAGGATAAACTATTAATTCGGTTACTTTGTCCCCATTTTAAGTTTTAGTCCATATACGAGAAAACGATAAGTTTTATCCCTGCACTGCAGCTATTATGTCTCCTCCTGTTGCTCTTCCGGCTCTGACCACAACAGCTCCAACCCATACAATGAGAGCCCAAGAACAGAAGCTCACTGTTTGAAACATCCCTGTCCCAACTCCTTTCACAAGTGCCTCCCCTTTGCTTATAATGTATTGTTTTTCCATGTTCTCTGTAAAAGATTTGATTGCAGAACTCTCTCCAACAAAAGCATAAACTGTTTTTATATGTGATATTGTCTGCAATATCAATCAAAGCTTCTTAAAATAAAATGAAATGTAAGTTGATTAATTTAAGTTTCATGGTGCACGTTTATGTTGCACGAAGAGTAGAAGCACTATTGTTATTGAAATGAAGACTAGACTTGTATTTATGTAAATGTAAGGATAAACTATTAATTCGGTTACTTTGTCCCCATTTTAAGTTTTAGTCCATATACGAGAAAACGATAAGTTTTATCCCTGCACATGCATAAAAATTAAGTTTTGATCCTTATAGCTAACACCAAAGAACATTTTCTTGGTTACTTTGTCCCCATTTTAAGTTTTAGTCCATATACGAAAAAACATTAAGTTTTAATCCCTGCGCTTACACAAAAATTAAGTTTTGATCCTTGTAGCTAACACCAAAGAACATTTTCATTTGGTGTAAAACTGCTACAACAACTTTTTGGTGGTGATAAACTGCTACCAAAAAAAAAAAACTGAGTAGAGACTAAAACTTTCTGTTTTCTCATCTTAGAACTAAAACTTAAAACATGGGCAACTATAGGAATCAAATGAATAGTTTAACCAAAATGTAATTGTGTATACATATACCTGCTCTATCATAGATGTCGCTTCAGAATGGAAAAGCATTTTGGTGGTTGAAATGCTGTTCATTTTCTTTGTGTAAGTTGCCCCAATTATAAGAATAATCGGGACAACCACTAAACAGAGAAGTGCCACTTCCCAAGAGCATATGGTGGCAATCACAATTCCAGCAAAGAAAGTTGCACAGCTAGAGGTGAAGTGACCCAACTGTGAGTAAGAAAATTCACATGGGGTTCAGTCCTAAAATGCTGTGAGGGAAGAAAAAGGGAGAAAGGTGAAACTTGTGACCATTATTGATTTTCTGACCTTCTCACCAATGGCATCTTGTATGACACTCATGTGCTTGCTTATTCCACTGATGACTTTTCCACTTGTTAATTCTGTATCAAAAGCTCCTATCTCTTGGTTGAGGACTGCCCTTAGATATGCTAATCTTAGCCTCATTAACTGTCTTTCACTTGTATACATCCAACAACCAATCTCTGCTCAAGTTTAAACTTTATCAGGAAGATAAATGCAGCTGGTTCAATTGCAAATGTACCATTTTTCTAAAATGTAGTATATGAATAAATAAATTAACAGTATTGATAATTCCATTGAATGAAGAACAAAAAAGGTGTAAATATTAAGATTCATTACGCCTGTTTATGAGAAATGCACCTCGTTTGTGATGCCTTACTTTCAACATATTCCTTTGTATTTTATTGAATTCATGTGGAGTCTGTCAAATTAGGTGTATTTCTGTTTCAATTTAATACGTCATACTTCTAAATAGTACATCTCATAAATTTCAACTAATATTCTTATTGAAAAAAATATTACGTTCGAGTGTGTTAGCATTTTTTAAAAACTGTTTTCTGATTTTAAAAGCATGAAAAAAAAATAGTGTGATAATTTTCTATTTTTTAAAAAGTAATATATATTTAATTTTCAAAATTTTAAAAAGATCAGAACATCTTTATGTTTTTTTTTTATTTCTACTTTTAGTTTTCTTTCTTCTTGTACTATTCCATATTCTT